GGCCAGTTTTGTCTGGTGTAATGAAGTGCCTTTGCCGGACTGTCCCATTCACACAAAAAACAGCAAAACTTTGTTTAGCCTAGCTGCCGCCCAAGTAAAAGTGCAACAACTTTCAAATCGCCACAAATATGCCATTGGTGCTCATCGTATTTTATGCATGTCAATAGGTACTTCATATTGTCATATGATTCTTTCATGTGAACTGCATACCCTACAGGAAGAGATGGTAAAATATATCCAATATGCAATAACACTGCCTTTAAACTCAATGTTGAACTGTCTATAAACAATCTCCATTCTTCTGGGTTATAGTTTATATTTAAAGCCGCCAGTAAGCCGTTAATGTTACTACAGAAAACCAAGTTATTCTCCATATTGAAAAATGGTTCTAAGTCTTTGTGGCGTTTACGAAAAACACATACCGAAACATCGTCTTCTAACAAGTTCCACTGCTGCAGTCTTGATCCAAGTAACTCAGCCTTACATTTTGGAAGTTCTAAATCTCTTACAAGAGCATTTAATTCTGACTGTGTTATTTTGTGCGGTTGGTGGTATGACGTGCTCGGTATAAAATCAGGACCTCTTGACGTTGATGGCATATCTTCTTCCTGACGAATCACTCGATCGCCATGATCTGATTCGTTTTCTGATTCGCAAGTGTAGGATTCTGGGGGTTTTGGAATAGGATTTTCGTCACTGTGAGGCACAGGTCTCATCGCAGATGGTATGTTTGGGTAGTTAATAACTGATTTTTTTTTCTTGGACATACCTGTGGCTTGTCCAACACAAGGTACCATGCAAAAGTAACAATCATTAATATGATTTTGTAGCAAAGCGCATAGACCGTTTTTTGCCATTTAACCAGCTCCTCAGACTTGAAGCACATGTATTACAGCAGATGTGGGGTGCCCACTGTTTGTCTTGATCACCTAGTTTACAACCGAAATAAAGCTGATATGCCTTTGTTATTAGTGGAGTAATAGACCGTCTCTGAGACGCAAAAGTCACATCACCACACACGTAACAAAACTGACCTGGATTGTTTACACACTTTCGAGACATCTTGCATGAACGCTGTCAGCCAACTGAGGAAAAAATGGCTAATATAAAACAATATAATGTACACGTATGTATAACGTAACACAATCATGCCGATTACATCATCTTTCCTTGCCGAATATAAATATGTAGCACGTGCATTCTTGTGAATTACAGTATATTAACACTGTCACAGCAGGAACACATATAATTACCGTATCTCTAAAACTTGAACTAATATTGAAAAAATAAGTTTCATTCCGGTTTTAGCACAATAAAAATAGTAATATTTTGTTGATTTTATTTAGGATATTTTTTGGCTGTTGATCAGTGTAATGAATCAACAGCATGCCTTCTTGTAGACCTAACCAAAGCATTCGATAGTATTACACATTAAAAATTATTAAGAACCTTGCAAAATTTAGGATTTTGTGGAGTTACTTATCAACTCATGAAAAGTTATTTGGAAATCAGGACACAATGTGTGAACACCAACAGTACACTGAGTGAAAATATGATTGTTAGCTGCGGAGTTCCACAAGGAACCGTATTAGAACCAATGCTGCTTAATTTATATATTAATGATCTTTTGGAATTGAAAAACCATGGTGAAATTATTGGTTTTGCAGACGATACGGCAATTATTTACTCAGACAAAGATTGGACTTCTTTAAAAAATAAAATTGTATTAGATTTTCAAAAGGTTACAAATTATTTCACGGAAAGGATTTTAATAGTCCATTTCAACAAAACGTACTTTATTATATTTTCTTGCGACAACAGATCTTCCCCAAATTTTAATCAACTCCAAATTAAAACGTTGAATAGCTGTAGAAACATACAATCGGTTGATAATTTCAAATTCATGGATAACCATCTAAGATGGAATAAACATATTGAAAATTTAGTAAGAAAATTAAGATACCTTATTCTGGAGGTCAAATATTTCAGCAGTTTTTTAAGCGAAAAATATCTACACATCATATATCATGCCCTTGTTCAATCATTACTATCTTACGGAATCTTAGCATGGGGGGAGTCATGAATAATTATTATAAAAAGATTGAAATTACGGAGAAGTGGATTTTGAAAGTATTCTTGAAAAAAATTTGCTGTATTAATATAACTCAACTTCGGTTAAAATCCAAGCACAAGTGTACACTTTTTTGGGCATATTATGTTTATTGGACATTGCCGTTATTATTTATACGAAAACTTTGTAATTGAACCAATAAACATTATTATTATTATTATTATTATTATTATTATTATATTATAAAGAAACTGGATTACGTAACCTTCTTATTTGACAAAGTCATGCAGCAGTCATCAATAATGCAGCCTTTTAGCACACGTTACATACTAATTAGTCTAAGTCAGCTTGAAACAATAATTTCTTCAGTTTGCGAACTTTATAAACAGTTCAGCGCATTTCATTATGGAATATCTTTTTTATAAACTTTAAGGCTCATCTGTAACGTGTGAAAATTTCAGCTATAAATATGTATACACACAAGGGTATGAAGAAATCCTTAAAAAAAATTGTGTTGACGATTGCAGAAACGTAGGACGGAGGTTCGAATCCAAGAAGCTCCCTTTTTCTCTATTGTTTTTTTAATTTTTTTAGAAATAAATGCTTTTGTACATTATGTGTACTTTTATTATATATACTAAGTGACATATAAATCCGAACACCCAGTTTAAATGGTTTTATTTTAATAAAATTTTGTATAAGTACTTAATGAAGCATAATAAGTAAATGATAAAAATTTCAAAATGATTCCACTGCTTTAAAGCCCTTTGACCTTTAATAATGTGTGGATGCACCCTGATGTGCTACGCATTCTCCAACGCGCCTAGGCATGCTTCTGATCAGGTGGTCAATGTCCTCCTGTGGTATCTCATTCCAGGCAACCACCAACTCCTCTCGAAGTGCTTCTAGAGTCTGAGGAGGACGTTGCAAATTGAGCAATCTCCTACCCATCATATCCCACACGTGCGCAATTGGGGATAAGTCGGGAGATCTTGGTGGCCATGGTAACAATGTGACATCATTATGTTGAAAGAAGTCTATTGTGACTCTTGCAACATGTGGTCGGGCATTATCTTGTTGGAAAGTTGGATCTGCCAGGGTGTCAAGATAGGGTAAAAGATGGGGTTCTAGAACTTCGTGGATATAACGCTGCGTGTTCATGTTACCTCTGATGAAGATTAAAGGTGACCTGGAACCATAAGCTATAGCACCCCAAACCATAACTCCAACAGTGTGATGAACATGTCTTTCAACAAAAAACTGTGGATTCCTCCTTTCACCACGTCGCCTTCTAACCCTGGCATGACCATCGTGCATGCCTAAACAAAATCGAGACTTGTCACTACTGTTCCATTCCTGATCCCAGAGTGACCGTTGTTTGCACCACTCAAGGCGATTACGTCGGTGTTCTCGAGTTAAATGGAGGACCCAGTGTGGCCGGTATGAAAACAAGCCAAAACTTCTCATTCGTCGGTAAACACTTCGCATGCCAATAGGTCTTCCGTGTTCTGTAAATCATTCATTTGCAATGGACCTGGTAGTGGAGACACGGTCCCTCAAGGCCAATAATCTTAGGCGGCGATATTCACGGTCTGTTGTTCTACGGCGGCGTCCAGTGCCCCTTGCTCTTTGTGTACGGCCTTCTCGAAGCCATGCCTGACAACACCTAACCACAGTGTCTACACTTCTTTGCACTCTAACTGCAATTGCCCGAAAAGAAAGTCCAGCTTCCCGAAGTCCCACTATACGGCCCCTATCAAACTCACTAAGTTGACGAAATCGTACAGGTCTCCGTACTCTAGGCATCGTAACCGATCGTAAAGGATGTCAAGAACCAAAATCCGCCAGCGTTGATTCTTTACTGCGGCTGAAATATTCATTTTTAGAGCGTTAGTGAATTAAAAAAAAGCAGTATAAAAACCGGAATGTCCAACTGATAAGGCTGAAAATTTTTTCACTTGTTATTTACAGTAAGATAAATACATTCACCAACTTTTATTAAAATAAAACCATTTAAACTGGGTGTTCGGATTTATATGTCACTTAGTATATTATCTGTGAAATGTCTATTCACCTTTCGCTATTGAAAGCTTGTTTAATTCACTACAAGTTAATTAGCTCAAGTTAGTGGTGAAACACAATGTACAGGTAACAATACGAAAAATAAGCAGCATTGTGGTTGCTGTGGTTGGTAAATACAGAATTTTGTTTTGGTTATCTGGAAGTATGAAGCCTACGGATTTGCAGTATTTCAAGTAGCTGCGTGAAATTATCGTCGCTTTAGCATCAAGTGCCAAAACCTAAATTTTGTCTCGGTTTTCGTTCCTGCCAACAATTTCGACTGGATTCCAAAAAACGGCTTCTCTCATTCTTTGTTGTCGAATAAAAAGTTTTTCTCCACAAAAATTGGTGTACCCATTTTATGCGTCCCTGTTTTAAATACCCCCTTGAAAAACTTGCATAAATAACACCAGACTTTACAATTATTCCGCAAACCAGTGGTATTTTCGTCTAATATGATTAGACTAATAGGGCAAGTAAATGATTAGAGTAGCCTAGAAGAGGGCATAGAAATGAATATGTCGATCGTACTACAACGCGGGGTGCCAGTAGTCGCGGCCGTTGTATAAATATGGACAATTCTAAAGATCAATGGACCTGCGTTGATGCAAAGTTGTAGATACTAAACCTACTAAGAATTGAAAAGTTATCTACTGGAGAACAGTTTTTACAGTCTATCAGACTTTTTGTAGTTTTGTAGTTTTTCTAGTTTTTAACAGTTACACCATATTAATTACCTTAATTTTTTTAGTCTTAGGACTTATTGTACTGACAGTTCCTATACAGTATTGTCTGTCAATGGAAAATAAATTGAATTTAATTGAATTCAAAACTTGAACATGAACTGTTTGAGAATCTATGATGTTACCTGTTGCTTGACTGTAACTGCAATCTTTTTGGTATTGTTCCACTGTTCAGGAAGTTCTTGTAAATACACGTTAACTTCTTCTGGAATATCTTGATCGTAGTACTTTAGGAGCTCGATTGTTTCTCTTAGTGGCCCAAACATTTCGTCTGTAGTTGCTTGCCTATCTTTGACGTTCAGAAGGAAGCCCATGACATTCACAAGCGTCTGCAAAAGTATGTTTAAGAGTAAAAACAACATCGGTTAGAATGACGCGTAAAGGAGAGATAACTTATTTCTCAATCCCTGATTTTGGTTACCTGATAGTCTCCTTCAGCAATGCTTTGTTGTAGACCTTCGTCAGCACGTCGTATGAACTGACTCAAGTCAGACAAACTGTTTGTAACCGTATTAACAAGATGCTCTTTAAACATATTTCCCCATTTGCGTATAGTGTTTAACAAAGCTTGCTTGAAGGGTCTGACATCTAGTTTGTACCAGTTGTGGAAAATTTCTGATTCCTTCATTTTTTCTACCTAAAAGTGAAGTGGAGGAAAACAGTCACCCAATAATACAGTTTGTGGATTTTTTGAGAACTACGTCACTTCCAATCTATGCGACTTCTTTTCAGAAACAGTTGCGTTTGAATTACGTAAGCTAATGTGCGATAAGTGAAAAGTAAATGCGAAGAAAAGTGATAGCAGTATTTGATAAGACCGCTATTCACATGTTGCTTATAGTGTCCAGGTTTATCGCCGTTGGATCAAAAAACACGAGATTGTCAACTTTTGCCTCAATTGTCTAGGTCTTTAGCTGTGCCTACCTCGACGTTCTTATAAACGGGCTTAGTACGAAATAATAATCATATCTTTGGGTAGAGCCAATCTAAGGTTGTTGGTGGGACTGGTGTCTGTGCATGACGCGATGAGGCGTCACCTGCATGTGAGGGTGGTGGCTGAGGATTCTATGTGTGAGCGCTGCGGGGTAGAGGAAGAGTCCTCGGCGCATGTTCTGTGTCGTTGCGAAGCTTTGGACTACTACAGACTATACTGGACCCCAGAATGTTGAGGAGCTGGGACTCAGGGATATACTTAACTTCTCTAGAAGGGCGGAGCTTGAGGCTTAGGTGCCATTATGCGCCGGCTCCTAGTGGTATCCGATATACCTCTAGTTTCATTCATCATTAGTTCATTTAAGACTAGGAAAATTTGCTTATGTTTACAAGAACTATACGTTGGGCGAAGGAAAGTTCAAACTTAAAGTATAGCCTGTTACTATTTATTTTTACCTCGCTCCAAATGTTTTCAAAGTTGTCAATTTGCTCCCTGAACTGCTCCATCCTAGGTGGCGACGGTTTCGGAGCCAACGGGTCTTTCAAACTAATGTACTCTAATTCTTCAGCTGTGAGTTGTCTTCCGTAATTCAAAAACTCATACAGATACTCGTGGCGATCATCCAACCAGAGATAAGAATAGTTATCAAAGTTTTCGCTGAACTGGTATGCCTCTTCTATAACCTTATCTATGCTTTTTAAGATATCTTCTTTAATATCAACTATGTCTCTATTTGATACGATCTCGTCAATGTATGGTATTGTTTTCTTTTTCGAGAATCTGTCCACTACGACGATGGTTTCAGTGATCTTGTCAATGAGATCTTTGACGAAACACCTTAGACCTTTTGGGTTGTTTGGGTCCAAAGATGGGGTAAAGACTATGTTTGGTTCAAGAAGCTCTAATTGGCACTCAAATAGAGGTGCCAAGTTGTTGCTGGGATCCATATGTTCGTTGATGTACCCCAGGCTGAAAAAAGTATAGTACTCCTTAAAGTTATTAGGTAGCTGGAAATGGCGAAAGACAAAGTATGGGATTCGAGTCCAAGAAATATTTTTTTTTGTGACATTTTATCACTAATTTGTGTACTTGTAAAAATCGCAGCTTTCTTAGGCTTGTAACCTGTCCCATTTTGTTTCAGAAATATAATTAGTATGAAATATTTTGAAATGTCTACATTATTATTGGATCATAACTTTTAATCATTGAATAATTCGATCACACTGATGATGGCTTTTGTTGTTGTCTCCGACAAAGAACTGCATGTTTTTTTCATCTTCGATGCTATTAAGCTGGCAATAATATTTATGACGCTATTTGGCTACTTCCGATGGAGTCAAAGAAAACTCGGCATCAGACATTTTTCACCTTATAGTATTAGAAATAACTTCTAAACAACCACAAGTTCACAATTTTTAAGTCAAATCACAAAATTAAATTGACAGCTATTTGATTACTTTAAACGTTTCCTTAGCAACACAGGTCTAATTGTCGCTATAAGTACAACATACCCTACTAATTTCAAAATTCAAATTTCACATCGATGATTTTCTGAAATATCGTAATACAGCAGACGCTCGATAACGTAAACACGGGATAATGAAAACTTGCGCTAATGTAAACACAAACTTAGTTCTATAGGATAAAACGGAACGCGCGATAACGTAAACAATGTGTACGCTCGATAACGTAAACAACTCTCGGCGCACGGAAACAGCGCGACGGTAAAATGCTGAAGCCTCGATGATTTATGTCGGGCGTCGGGGAGTCCCCGATTTATGATGTAGAGTGTAGGGGATTCACCTCTGCGATAAAATACGACAAACTCGATCAGTCGTATGATCGTTTAGGATACGTTTATACGTACGTATGTATTTCATTTTTGAACTTAAGTGAATACATTGCACGCGTTAATATATTTTAAGACTATGGCATCCACATCCTATAAAAGAAAGTGTTTAAAGTTGAGTGAGAAAGTGAAAATCATAGACGAAGTTGCACTAGGTGCGGGAGTGACACAGTTAGCAAAAAAATATGGATTATCGAAAGCAACAATCTGTAAAATTAAGAGTATGAAAACTCAAATTTTACAAAGAACGTGCAATACATTTGGAGGTCCGGGAAAAAGAAAAACTTTCAAAAATGCGAAGGCACCTAAAATGGAATATAAGTGGTTTTTAAAACAATGGGAAAATCATGTCCCAGTTAGTGGCGAAGTACTTAAACAGAGAGCGAGACTGTTAAATGAAAAACTGAAAGAAACTGAAAATTTCGTAGCTAGTGATGGCTGGCTACAACGATTCAAAACAAGATATGGAATTCGACTGCTGTCTATATCTGGTGAAAAATTATCAGCACAACCACAATTAGTGCAACCATTCAAAGAAAAATTGATGGAAACAATTACCGATTTAAGAATGGAACAAATTTACAACGCAGATGAAAGTGGCCTTTATTGGAAAATGTTACCAGAGAAAACCTATGCTGCATCATTTGAAAAATCTGCCCCGGGAAGAAATCCGGAGAAACAACGAATAACGTTTCTAGCCTGCACTAATGCTAATGGTTCACACAAAATAAAGCCACTGGTAATTGGGAAAGCAAAAAATCCGCGCTCATTTAAACATGCTAATATCCCTGTTGATTATGACTGTTCAAAAACCGCTTGGATGTCTAGCAGTATATTCCTGAAATGGTTCCAGGTGCTTGGTCCCTCAGGTATGACAATCAATTATCACAAATGCTCTATTCATAATTTGAAGATGTGTTTTCAATTTGTAGGTAAAATGTTTCCTAAAACAACAGAAGCTTCCAACAAAAGCGTTGTTACTATTGGATAATGCACCAAGTCATCCTCCCGAGCAACAACTGAGGAGCAGGGATGGGTCAATTTTCGTCATGTACAACGTAACACCGTTAATTCAACCGATGGACCAGAATATGATAAGACTCACCAAACTATACTATAGGAAGTTTCTACTTTCGTCTGTCTTATCAAAGAATCCTGAAAACTTATCTGAGGCTTTAAAAAAAGTAAGATTACGAGAAGCTGTTTTAGATTTACATATGGCCTGGAATGAACTTAACCAGCAAACTATTCAAAAATGTTGGAACAATCTCTTTTGTACCAATAATGAAGATGATGAAGAAGACGATGTCCAATTAAGCGTAATTAGAGAACGTTCGCGATCCAATAATGATAATGTTATTAGTGTGTCATTGGATATTGTTGATTTATTGAAAACAGTGAATACCAACATTGTTTGTACTCCTGCTGATATTAATGTAGGGAACGAAGATAAGCTGACGAATGACGCTGATAAGGAGGAGGATATGGACAGTGAGGATGATGAGAACGATCCCATTGAAGTCAGAAGTGTAGTGACTGACGCGCAAGCTATACAATAACCAAGCTTTAGATTGGGCTGAAAGAAAAGAAGTTTCATACACGGATATTTTAGTTCTTTGTAGATTACGGGCGCAGGCATTGGAAGACAATGCTAAGCGCAAATTTACGCAGACAAAAATTGTTAATTATTTTTCTTCTAAATAAAATATTTGTTTATTTTGTTATAAATAGTATGTATTAAACGTCCATTTTAATAAATCAAATATTATATAAGTCACGTTCGCTAATGTAAACATTTCGATAATGTGAACCACACTTGGATTAAATAAGTTTACATTATCGAGCGTCTGTTGTACTATAATTTTTCAATATTAAATCGTCGTTTTTCCCGTCACAGAACAAAAATTGTGTATTATACACGGGAAAAATACTAGATTTTAGCTAAAATCTAGTACTTTTCTTGTACGATAAATAACTGTGATTGCTCCGAAAAATGAACAGAAACAAAAAAAAACAACAAGAACTGAAAAATGGTGACTTGGATCACTGTTTCTTTGGTTGCGCTAAATTCCTGGATCACTGCAATGCACTCTACTCCGATTTGGTGAAATCTGGCATATCTGCCCCCCTAAATACATCTCATGTATTTTCGCTAGGTAGATCTGATGTGATCATTCTCGTTGTTAAATTTATCAGAAATTCTGGCATCAAAATATAACAATCGTATTTTAGTTATCCTCTGTTTTTTGTACCTTTATGTATAAATATATCCTTCATATCCGTGGCCTAATTGTTGTATGTGAAAAATGAAAAATGCCCTGACGGGTCCCTGGGCGAGAAGAACGTGTGTCCCTGTCTGACCCATCCTCTCTCCTCCCCCTTAGAGTTGCATAGGTTTAATATGTAGTTATGGTATCCTTTAGACACTAATGTCATCTGAAAATTTGTGTGTAATGCTTAACCCCCGCCCCCTCCTGATAACACTTTCTTAGTTCTTCTATATTTACTTTTTTGTTTTTCATCCAGAGTGGAGAGTGTGCATTAGAAGAAATTTAATAATCATTTTCTCCATACTGTTTGTTAAGTACTTGCTCCTTCGCCCAAATACGACTGTGCCACCAAAATGTCTTTCCTGCAATACCCTGATAGCTGAGGGGATCTGCTTGCTACGTCATTGCCAATTTACACGTCTTAAATTATATATGTCTGTATGATATAATAGATAAATACTTGATTCTGGCTAATGGGGCAATGTCCTAGTGCCAAAAAAAAAAAAAAAAAAAAAAAAAAAACTGAAAAATGGAGTTTGGGAAGGTTCCGGAATGTTTCCCTGTCGAAATTGGAGCATTTTTCAAAGTCTACAAAACACTGAGTTGAAATTTCATTAAAATCCGAACCGTCATTTTTGAGCTACTCAGAGTCCAAGGATTAAAGGACAGACGATATGCATACCAACCAGATCAACGGACATGCCGAATCGATTAAGCTTGCATCTTTATATTTTTAAATATGAAAATAAATAATCATATTTCTGTTTCAATGGCAAATGCATAGCAAATTTATATTACTCTAATGTCTAACAGGTGCGTAGAATTACTGGGATCAGACGCTCCTGAATAATAGGACCTCTTTCACCAAAAATTCAACATTTACAAAAAGGAGGTTTAAACGTTTCTTTTCTTGCCCGTACCCTCACCAGCACCAGGTCAATTTTAAAAACGCTTTTCGGTCCCTGTGACAAAATCTCAGCAAAAGACTTGTTAACTTACCAGCATCCAACCGATTGGTAGAGATAATTTGTGACAATATCATCAATATAATCTTCATATTGAATCCATTTCTTATCATCCTGCTTGTCTCTCATACCAAAGATCTGCATATTCTCATCTAGAAGTCTCCTTACTTCCACAGAAGCATTCATTAGGTCTGTCTTTCGCTTGTTGAGTATTTCTTCTTTATTTTGAATGTCTAAGAAACCGTCTTTCTTGCCGTCTTTGCGTTCGAAAAGTGGATGACGTGCAAAAGGTACGAGGATATTTTTTATCGCCTGCAAGTTATCCTGACATTTTTGGAGGTTGTTGTGCAAGTTTCCGATCAGTAGATGCAAATCGGTCAAGTACGTCCATATATCTAAGAAAAAATGTTTAGTTTAAATCTTTGTTGTGTAGATTGTCAATCAGTTGGTGCAGATCGGTCAGATACGTCCATATACCAAAGCAAAATCGTTTCTGGCATAATAGCAAGCTTAAATCCTCACCTATCATTTTTTTTCAATGAAATTTGGTACCTTTGTATTTTGCAAACAAATCTGTGTGGCGCTGGATGGAAACGATCTAAATACGTAGCATCTTCGAAGTAGTCAACGCAAACCAACATCAAATTGGAGATAATTTATTATTTTTGGTGAATCATTGGTGAATTTACATTAAAATTGAAGTGTTCCACCGTACTCCTGTGCCAAAATTTCAACATTCTGAGCTATATACAAATAGAAGCTGTTCGAAGGGATAATATACGAACAAATCATTTGGAATGTATCATTCATCGAAGAAAACAAAATTTTGACAAAATGTCGAGATGGATTTAGAAAAAAATATTCTACAGAAACAGCAAACCAAATGGTGGTGGAATACTGCAGAAGAAGTATAGATGTGTAAGAATGTACTGTAACAGTATTTTTAGACTTCGATAGAGGAAAATTATAAGTATTAAACATTTTACAAAATTATTTAGTAAATAGACGCAAAATCACTATAATTGGAATAATTATGTTAAGCGTTCAAAATATATCAGTAGAGGAGTAAATAAGGCTCATTACTAATCATTATATATATATATATATATATATATATATATAGGGTGTCCAATAAGTACCACGGCAAACTTCAGGAGAAGGTAAGCTTTGGACTGACCTCTCAAATAACAAAAACTTACCTACGAGTATATAAAAGTGTCACCGTTTTCAGATATTGAATTTTAAAAAAATGAACCTTTTCATCTGAGGTCTTTAGCTGCATGTACAAATAAGGTTATACTTTGTACATTTTTTCTATTAAATACTTCTAGATAGTTCTTTTACCGTATACAAATGCAATGTAGTTAAAAGATATTAAGGAACCATGATCAAATAAGGACTATTTTGGTATTTATAACCTTCTGATATTTTTTCCTCAACTTTGACCATCTGTGGTGGAACAAAAATGTACTATTCTATAACTGCATTATATTGAATAAAAATATTGCTCATTGAATACAGATTTCGGAAAGGCACCACACATTCTATTTGGAATAGAAAAAAGTGATAGCTGCTTTTGTAAGTGACTGACACATACTACAATGTAATTATTGGATTTAAATTAAAGTTGCACTGGTTACCGATCAGTGACATGCTAAATAGTACAAAGCTACATTTTTATTACGTGCTCCTGATATGATTTTATGAGGAAGTTGAGGAAACAATATCAGAAGGTTATAAATTCCAAAACAGTCCTTATTTGATCATGGTTCCTTAATATCTTTTAACTACATTGTATTTGTATATGATAAAGCAACTATCTTGAAGTATTTCATAGAAAACATGAACAAAGTATAACCTTATTTGTACATGTAGCTAAAGACTACAGATGAAAAGGTTCGTCTTTTAAAATTCAAGAAAACATTCAATATCTCAAAAACGGTGACACTTTTATATAGGTAATTTTTTGTTATTTGGGAGGCCAGTCTAAAGCCTACCTTCTCTTTAAGTTTGTCGTGGTACTTATTTGGATACGCTATATATATATATACAGGGTGTCCGCAAAGTTGGGGTTTTCCTTTTCAGAAACAACTACCCTTGAAATAACAAAGGTAATGTGTAGTGAAACGAGGGCGACCAAGTAAAAAAAATAAAGGAAAAAGTACTCACTCTCCAGTTGACGAGAAGGGCTAAGTACGTCTCTGCCCGAAATCATACCGCTCCAACAGAAAATGAAATCAGCTGAAGCGCTACCGAGCAGACGCAGAAACCACATTGATTGTCTTACACTTAATGGCACATCTTCTAACAAGGAAGGCAAAATGTTGCGTAAAAACTCTAGGTATTGCAACCCGTCCAATCGATTTGGGAGAATAAATGGTCCAATGAGCATACCGTTCACCATGCCAGCCCAAACATTCACCGAAAATGTTTGTTGAAAATGTGCCCAACGGACAGCGTGCGGATTTTCTACTGACCAAACATGAGTGTTGCGAAAGTTATTCACCCCATTACGCGTGAACGTAGATTCGTCTGTCACCAATATGCATTTCAAAAAGTCCGGATTATTGTCATGTTGATGCAACAACCACTCACAAAACCGCACTCTTGCTGGAAAATCGTCAGGTTGAAGGGCTTGTACACGTTGGACGTGAAACGGATACAGCCCCTCTTCACGCAGCGTTTGCCACACTTTAGTTTTTGATACTTGCACTTCTTTAGCCACGTCTCTAGTGCTTGTTGAGGGATTCTTGTCTACGCTGTTACCTCTACATGCGCGACCGTAACCGTCGGTTGAAGGTTGCATACTGACCTGACACACTGACCCCGACCCAGTTCTGCCGTCGGGTTGAGACCTTGTACCAATCGGTGATGTCCCGGGTCGCGGCTACAGGACGGTATTAAGATATTTTTGATGTTGCAGAGCCCTTTATCTCGGTTCCCTTAAGACATTGGTGTATATGGTACTAAGAAAAATTGCTTATGTTTTCAAGATGTACACGTCGTGTAAAGGAATACCCCAACTTTGCGGACACCCTGTATATAAATGATGTCTCTGATATTTTAGAGTACTCCATAATTAATATATTTGCGGACGATACGTATATAACACATACATATTTAGACACTGCTTTACAACAATAAATAATAGCGATATTAAAAAAATTATGAAATGGTTAAATGTTCATAAAACAAACAACAAAATGTATGCCAATAGGGAAATATTTAGGTGAGGAATATAATTGGGCTTATGTTTAATGATGAAAAGATTGAAGTAGGCGAATCATTTAAATAACTGGGTATATACGAGTATACTAAATAACTGTTTCAAGTTCACTGTGAATACATTATTTCTTAATCGCAGTATGTACTCAAAAAATATTGTGTATAATAGTATAATTCTTCCCCATATTTTATATTATTCAACTATTTTGTTTAAAGCAAGTGAATACATATTTTAAAAATTACAAGCTCTACAATACAAAAATACAAAAATGCTAAGATTAAGCCTATATTAGAAGAACTGCAGTGGTTGAATGTAAAAATTTAGTTCTCATTTTCATATTCAAATTAAAAAATCATTTATTACCCCCACCTTCAGAAAGGCAGTATAGATGTTCATCTGAAAAATTGTTATAGTAGCATAACTAGCAAATCTGTATTTCAAAAGGCAGTATTTGAATCTAACAAATTGAATAATGATATTAAACAGTGTTTAAAAAATCACTTTATAAATACCCAAAATGCATAGTGATATAATTCTATTCAAAGTTGCGTAAACGAATAATTATACAAAATCGACATTAAAACACGTTCACCTTCGGCATCTCTGCTAGTAAGAGCCCTTGTGTACCACGTGTATTTTCAAAAGTAATTTCAACAAATATTTTATGAAGTAATCTAGGTTGTCGGTCTAGAAGTTTGATGCACCTTAAATACAAAAACGTCATACAGATGAAAAGAACGCGCCACGCGCGTTTCACTTTGAATTTTGTTTTTATTGCAATGTCAATATTTGAAATACAAAAAATGTAGCATTGGCAAACAAAATATTCATAAAACACATGAATACAAATGACAAACAAAAGTGCAACCTGTATTACTAAAACAAGATAATGTCATGAAATTCCTGACGTTTTATTATAATTTTTGATTTTTATACAAAGATAAAGCATTGAATTGTATTTTTTGTTAAAAATCACTAAAATTAAATAGGAACTGCTTTTGTAAATAAATACACAAAACGCGCTAGGCGCGTTGGTGGCACCGAACGTGAACAAGACTGAACGCGCTTGACGCGTTGGCGGCGTTGGTAGTGCTAATGCTGAATAAATCGTCAACAAACAAACAAAGTTCGGTATTGCTACTGATTGCGCCACTTTAGGTTACTTTAAATCCAGTGTATAAACAAATAGCGCAGCTCGATACTCTGAGGCACGTCGTTTGCTGAAAGCTGGTGTCAATTTTATATAGCAATTTTTTTCGAAATCGAATAGTTCGATAGTATTTTGAAAATTTTAATCAAGAGTTCAAGGACACTTTTATTTATTTATTTATTTATTTATTTAGCAACATCCAACAGCCATAGCCAATTACAGGATGGATAAACATGAAAATATAAACAAATGCATGTTGTGGATGTATGTAGAGAAAGCTAAAACGCTGCAAAAAAAAACCTCAAAACTGAACTGGGAGAAAAAAAAGCGTTCCAGCTTTACCTACCCAGCACTCAACAATCACACCAGCAAGCATTAACGAAAATAAGCATTAATGTCTCCCAAAGTCGCACAAAACGAAAATATATCTAAAACGCTATTAACTGAATTATAATTACGGCACATTATATATATAGGGGAAAACTTCAGCATGTCAGTCCTAGGCCTGGCTAAGTAAAAAGTTAAACTAGTTCGTGACGCTAATCTAGGAATTAAGAAGTTAAGTTGTTCTAAGATGACACTGGAGTCAATAATGCCATGGATGAGCTTGTGAATGAACTTAAGTGAATTGATTTTGCGTCTGCTCTCTAAATTATAGATTTTGTGTCTCGCCATCAACTCACTATGAGGAAAGCCAATAGCGGGATATATCCCGTCAGCTTTGTATGAGAGGTATTTTAAAAACTTTCTTTGAACGGACTCTAAGCGGTCAATATATATTTGATGATGAGGATACCATACCAGGGACGCATACTCAAGCTTAGATCTTACATAAGCATAGTACAGTATTTTCATTGTAGAGGAGTTGTGGAAATCACCGGTATTTCTTACAGTAAAACCATACGCCTTTGATGCAGCCACAACAGCATTTTCAATGTGATAGGAGAAGGAAAGTTTTCTGTCAAATGTGACTCCCAAGTCATTAATTGTACTAGGTCTGTCAAGTTCCCTGTCACCAATACTATATTCATACATCATTACCCCTGTTTTTAAAGTAAACGACAAAACGTGACACTTAGCAGCATTCAAAACAAGTCTGGTTTCACGACCCCAGCTGTCAACCCTTACAATGTTGCATTGCCAGCGATGACAATCGTCAATGTTAGAGACTCTACAGAAAAGTTTCATATCGTCAGCATATATAAGAAAATCGACATCGATAACTTCAGAAATATCATTTATGAACATAATAAATAACAGAGGTCCCAAATTAGATCCTTGAGGAACACCGGATATTACAGGGTATTCGCTTCACTTATGTCCATTGCACATAACTGTTTTCTATGACATAAACAAGATCTGAAAAATAGCAACAATGCATCTGAAAGACCAAATCTAGATAACTTATTGAGTAGAATGTTATGGTCTAAACTATCAAACGCTTTAGAGAAATCAGTATATATTACATCCGTTTGAAGTTGTCTATCGATTGATTCACAAACATATTGAGTAAGATATAGCAAGTTAGTAACTGTGGACCTGCCCTTCATGAAACCGTGTTGACTGACGGAGATAGACCTGCTTACATGAAAATATACTAAGCACAGTTTGTATCACTATTTCGAATGTTTTAGCGAAATTACTGATAATTGTGATAGTTTTCTACATAATTCCTCTCACCTTTTTTAAAAACAGGACTTACCCTAGACAACTTCCAAATAGATGGAAAGTGATTATTTTTCAGGGAGAGATTGAAAATGATCATGAGTGGATATGCTAAAATGGACGCCCAATCTCTCACAAAAAATGCTGGTATTTGATCAGGCCCTGCAGTCATTTTTGGCTTAATTTTCTTGAGCGCCTGTAGCACATCGATTTCCTGTACACTAGGCATAGCTAGTGTAGTAGTGAAATGGTAGTCAGTAGAAAAATTAGATTGTGCTGTTGGAGTATTATAGCTTCCACTAAAGTGTTCCGCAAATGCGCCAACAACATCATTAGGTATTCACTCCCAGCCCATTGTACATCATATCCTTCGGAATACCAGTGCAGGTTCTTTTTCTATTAACAAAAGACCAGAATTTGCCGGAGCTGTTGGATATTTCACACTCTAAAAAGTGAATGTAGCGACGATATGAAACAGCTACATGTTGCTTTATCTCTGAGCGAAGTCATATAAATTTTTCTGTATAATAAGTATCACCAGTGCGTCTGAAAGTCTTGAATGCCACCATTTTTTGTTTGAGGGTTCTAATGATATGGCTGTTGTACCAAGAAGGATACCTATTCAAGGACACATTGTATATACGAACTTACCAGTTGACTCCCAGTTGAGATCCTTCTCTCCAATTTGTACCATTTCATCGATTTTTAAAATATCGTTCTCAATCAAATGAAACTCCACTTCCCTTGACGATTTCTTGACAGTATTGTACCAAGTAACAGTCGCAGTTAAAACTGAAATATATTTCTGCAAAATCTGGTCCTTTTCGGATATTTTCAGAATATCTTCAGATATGTTTTCCTGGCCTGTTAATTTCAGATAACGTATCTCCCTAAGAACGGCTGTCAGCTACAAAAACGTCGATATATTCTCACAAAAAAATATGTTCATGTATGCACTTTAAAAGTAGGATAACACTTTTCTATATCCTGAAAAATTCTACAATTATTTTGGTTCCTACCTGTGGATTGAAATTCATGTTTAACTCATTAGTTTTGGAGTTCCTTTCTAACAAACATTGTTTCAAGCTACACTGTATTTGAGTAGGGACTTGTTCTGCCCATTCGTTGAATGTCTTTGTGTTGAATTCTTTGATCGTGTCTAGAAATTTCTCAGCTCTCGTAATGATACTCATTGCCCTTGGACTTTCGACGATTCTGGAATCGCAGTGTCTGTCAGTACAAAATTGAATTCAATCTTCTGTATCTTTGGTATATATACTGGGGAGGCAGGAGAAACTTTAATATTTTGTTCATTTCACCTTCATTTAAATATAATATTGGGCAACGAAAACAGTTTAACTTTCATTCCAAATAGAGCAGACGCTCGATAATGTAAACTAATTTAATCCAAGTGTGGTTCACATTATCGAAATGTTTACATTAGCGAACGTGATTTATATAAACGTTTAATACATACTATTTATAACAAAATAAACAAATATTCTAACAGCGATAAGTATTTTTTTAATTAGAAGAAAAATAATTAACAATTTTTGTCTGCGTAAATTTGCGCTTAGCATTGTCTTCCAATGCCTGCGCCCGTAATTTACGAAGAACTAAAATATCCGTGTATGAAACTTGTTTTCTTTCAGCCCAATCAAAAGCTTGGTTAAAAACTTGTATAGCTTGCGCGTCAGTCACTACACTTCTGACTTCAATGGGATCGTTCTCATCATCCTCACTGTCCATATCCTCCTCCTTATCAGCATCATTCGTCTGCTTATGTTCGTTCCATAAATTAATACCAGCATGAGTACAAACAATGTTGGGATTCACTGTTTTCAATAAATCAACAATATCCAATGACACACTAATAACATTATCATTATTGGATCGCAAACGTTCTCTAAATACGCTTAAGGGGACATCGTCTACTTCATCATCTTCATTATTGGTACAAAAGAGATTGTTCCAACATTTTTTAATAGTTTGCTGGTTAAGTTCATTCCAGGCCATATGTAAATCTAAAACAGCTTCTCGTAATGTTACTTTTTTTGAAGCCTCAGATAAGTTTTCACGATTCTTTGATAAGACAGACGAAAGTAGAAACTTCCTATAGTATAGATCGGTGAGTCTTATTATATTCTGGTCCATCGGTTGAATTAACGGTGTTACGCTGGGCGGCATATACATGACGAAAATTGACCCATCCCTGCTCCTCAGTTGTTGCTCGGGAGGATGACTTGGTGCATTATCCAATAGTAACAACGCTTTTATTGGAAGCTTCTGTTGTTTTAGGAAACCTTTTATCTACAAATTGAAAACACATCTTCAAATATATAAATAGAGCATTTGTGATAATTGATTGTCATACCTGAGGGACAAAGCACCTGTGGAACCATTTCAGGAATATACTGCTAGTCATCCAAGCGGTTTTTGAACAGTCATAATCAACAGGGATATTAACATTTGTAAATGAGCGCGGATTTTTTGCTTTCCCAATTACCAGTGACTTTATTTTGTGTGAACCATTAGCATTAGTGCAGGCTAGAAACGTTATTCGTTGTTTCTCCGGCTTTCTTCCCGGGGCAGATTTTTCAAATGATGCAGCATAGGTTTTCTCTGGTAACATTTTCCAATAAAGGCCGCTTTCATCTGCGTTGTAAATTTGTTCCATTCTTAAATCTAGCTCGGTAATTGTTTTCATCAATTTTTCTTTGAATGGTTGCACTAATTGTGGTTGTGCTGATAATTTTTCACCAGATATAGACAGCAGTCGAATTCCATATCTTGTTCTGAATCTTTGTAGCCAGCTATCACTAGCTACGTAATTTTCAGTTTCTTTCAGTTTTTCATTTAACAGTCTCGCTCTCTGTTTAAGTACTTCGCCACTACTTGGGACATGATTTTCCCGTTGTTTTAGAAACCACTTATACAGGGAATTTTCCATTTTAGGTGCCTTCGCATTTTTTAAAGTTTTTCTTTTTCCCGGACCTCCAAATGTATTGCACGTTCTTTGTAAAATTTGAGTTTTCATACGCTTAATTTTACAGATTGTTGCTTTCGATACTCCATATTTTTTTGCTAACTGTGTCACTCCCGCACCTAGTGCAACTTCTACTACTAAACGATCATACGACTGACCGAGTTTGTCGTATTTTATCGCAGAGGTGAATCCCCTACACTCTACATCATAAATCGGGGACTCCCCGACGCCCGACATAAATCATCGAGGCTTCAGCATTTTACCGTCGTGCTGTTTCCGTGCGCCGAGAGTTGTTTACGTTATCGAGCGTACACATTGTTTACGTTATCGCGCGTTCCGTTTGATCCTATAGAACGAAGTTTGTGTTTACATTAGCGCAAGTTTTCATTATCCCGTGTTTACGTTATCGAGCGTCTGCTGTAATAGTAATTCCAACTTACGGATGCTGTAATGATTTGAAGTTTTGAAGTGGCCCAGTAAGTCTCGCGGCTAAATTGTTCGTCCATCTTAGAGTACCAGCTACGGGTGGCATATATTTGTCGAGCAGGTATTGCCCAGTCTTCTGCTTGTGCTGCATTTGCTCTTCAAACGTACTCTTAAAAACACACGTGCACTTGACCAAAAGTCACACAATTTAATGTACAGCTTACCATAACCATATCCAGTTCTGCGTCGAGTAGATCTACAATTTTAAAATATTTCTGCACAAATTCTTGTTTAATTAGCTGCCTTTCCAGGAGCGATCCAGAAATACTTATTAGCTGGAAAGTAAATAATGAGACATAGAAGTTCGATTCACTTGAAAGGTTGCTATTGTACGACACCTCTCATTTTAAATTCAAAGTCTATCGCGACGAAATTAATTCGCGTTGAAGCAGTCAAGTGTCAAAATATTGGATTGACTAAATTTCCAGTCCAGAGCATAACACTGTTTGTTCCCAATTTAAATATACTAAGTGACATATAAATCCGAACACCCAGTTTAAATGGTTTTATTTTAATAAAATTTTGTATAAGTACTTAATGAAGCATAATAAGTAAATGATAAAAATTTCAAAATGATTGCACTGCTTTAAAGCCCTTTGACCTTTAATAATGTGTGGATGCACCCTGATGTGCTACGCATTCTCCAATGCGCCTAGGCATGCTTCTGATCAGGTGGTCAATGTCCTCCTGTGGTATCTCATTCCAGTCAACCACCAACTCCTCTCGAAGTGCTTCTAGAGTCTCAGGAGGACGTTGCAAATTGAGCAATCTCCTACCCATCATATCCCACACGTGCTCAATTGGGGATAAGTCGGGAGATCTTGGTGGCCATGGTAACAATGTGACATCATTATGTTGAAAGAAGTCTATTGTGACTCTTGCAACATGTGGTCGGGAACTTCGTGGATATAACGCTGCGCGTTCATGTTACCTCTGATGAAGATTAAAGGTGACCTGGAACCATAAGCTATAGCACCCCAAACCATAACTCCAACAGTGTGATGAACATGTCTTTCAACAAAAAACTGTGGATTCCTCCTTTCACCACGTCGCCTTCTAATCCTGGCACGACCATCGTGCATGCCTAAACAAAATCAAGACCCGTCACTAAAGACAACACTGTTCCATTCCTGATGCCAGAGTGACCGTTGTCTGCACCACTCAAGGCGATTACGTCGGTGTTCTCGAGTTAAAGGGAGGACCCAGTGTGGTCGGTATGAAAACAAGCCAAAACTTCTCATTCGTCGGTAAACACTTCGCATGCCAATAGGTCTTCCGTGCTCTGCAAACCATTCATTTTCACTGGACCTGGTAGTGGAGAAACGGTCCCTTAAGACCAATAATCTTAGGCGGCGATCTTCACGGTCTGTTGTTCTACGGCGGCGTCCAGTGCCCCTTGCTCTTTGCGTACAGCCTTCTCGAAGCCAAAGAAAGTCCAGCTTCCCGAAGTCCCACTATACGGCCCCTATCAAACTCACTAAGTTGACGAAATCGTCTCAGGTCTCCGTACTGTAGGCATCGTAACCGATCGTAAAGGATGTCAAGAACCAAAATCCGCCAACGTTGATTCTTTACTGCGGCTGAAATATTCATTTTTAGAGCGTTAATGAACTAAAAAAAAGCAGTATAAAAACCGGAATGTCCAACTGATAAGGCTGAAAAATTTTTCACTTGTTATTTACAGTAAGATAAATACATTCACCAACTTTTATTAAAATAAAGCCATTTAAACTGGGTGTCGGATTTATATGTCACTTAACTGAAATAATCGCAAATTCACTTGACATGCCACCTTTATCAACCGAAATTATCTTTTTACAAAGGATTACCAATATACATCACTTCTAACAGGTTACATAGGTATGTGAGCGGGCCAAAAATCGAAAAAGATGACTTTGGTAAGAAATGTGACATGACACCGTTATCCACTTACGTATGTCTTCAATTGATACAAACTACTTCGCTATCAACAACTCGTGATTTATTCTGACAAATACCTTGGAGAAATCGATTGACATACGCCATGTTTTATCAAGCGCACTAATCATATTATCAACTAAGTTAAGGAGGGAATTAATAGTACAGGAAGATTTCCTAAAAGTAGACTGATTAGATAGGATGATTTGTTTCTCTGCATAATGAATTAGTTGTATGTTTTCAACTACTTTAGATAAAAATGGCAATAGGCTTATAAGTCTCAGATTAACATAATTGCTCGCTTGCACGATTTAGAGAAATACCCCCTTTCAAGGTGGGTGATGTATAGTCAACGCCAAACAAAGTGGCGTGCACGTCATCAAGGTGGGTGTGTTGAAAAATTTACATTGTTGCCAAACTTTTTGTAAAATAATAAAATTTATTATTTACATATCTAGGTTTATAAGCAATATTAACCTCAAATGAGAACAAAAATAATAGTATAATAAAATTATAGATCTGTACTTGCATAATCATTAAGTATGACAATTATTGATCAGATGACACTATGAAACTACCATATTTAATTGATAGCTTAAAGGTACTGAATAAAAATCCAAATGGGGTCCTCCAAATTTTATGCATGGTATTTATTTTACAGAATTCATACAGAAAAATGCATTCTAAAATTAGGTAAGCTACTGGTGTAAGCTTTTTCTGTACAATAAAGTTAGTCGGAGTTTCTTTCTTCAGCGCTGTCTGAATCTGAATCTTCATCACTCTCAAAGTTGATTATTAAAGGTTCGATGTCTGGTCGATCAAAAATTCGTTCTCTTTCATACCATTTAAAAATTTCTTGCTCAGTATGTCGAACACTATTTTTCCACATGTCTCGGGTAACCGTTTGTAGAGCCTCGTTCCACATATCCAAACAGTCTTTTTCACTGTTACCATCTCTACCAATATGTCTGTTATAGTAACCTTTTGCTATGCCCCAAATTAACTCAATAGGGTTAAATATACAATGGTAAGGAGGCAGACGAAGAACTTTGTGCCCATGTTGTTCCGCCAATTCATCAATCACGTATATTTTAGGTGGTTTGTTTCTAAAAAAGCAGTTATTTTAAGAATAGGAATAAACAAAAGAAATATAAACTGTCGACCAAAATATATATAATTAAGAAGCATTATGTACCGAGCAACAATACTCAATAGCTCTGTTTTAAACATTGTGTTTAAAAATGGTATGTTTTGATTTGTCAACCAGTCTTGGATATTTTTTTTTTGTCCATGCATTGTTGGGCACTTTGTTCAATATCATGCTGTGATAAGGGGCGTTATCCAGTATAATCATAGATGGACTCTCCAATTTTTCTAATAACTGATGTTGAAACCATTTCAAAAAATTGTCCTGGTTCATCTCTCCATGGTAATCGCTCAATTTTGTTTTCGAAGAAAATATCGCTTCACTACCCTCAATAAACCCATTTTCATTTCCAGCATGTAATATAATGTATCTAAAATATATTAGTTTTAAATTTTATAGTGCAAATTGTGTAAAAGTACATACCTTTTACCATCTGTTTTAATAGCTTTCACGCTTTTTTGGTTTCCATTTTGCCAAGAGCGACCTATGGTCCCATTTTGAAATATCCAAGTTTCATCGAGGAAGACAAACTGGTATAAGGCCTCAACCTTGGCTTGATTGTATTGCCTTAGAAATTCCACCCTTTTCAAAGCTATACTTGGTAGTTCCATGAGCCCTCGTCGCGGATTGTCCTTAAGCCACTTAAATCCAAGATCTCTAAGCAACCGCCTTAAAGACGTGGCACTACCATCAAATAATGCCCTATCTCTTAATCGAGACCATAAAGTTTGTATCGTAACTTGTTCTTTTGAAACCATGTGTAATATGACATTATAATTTAGTTAACAAATTAATGCAAATTTCTGATAAGTTATTATAATAAGATCTTACTTTTGTGATACATATTATAGATCACTTCTCGAATGGCACTGGTATCCAATGTCGCTGTGTTGGTTACACGTTTAATATAACTCGGCTTTTTCTTGGGCGATTCTAAATTTGCATCACTTTTCACACCCTCGGAAATACGACTAACTGTCCTTAAACTAATTTTTAAAGCAGCAGCAACACGCTACAAAAAATGAAATAAAATTTCACTATTATTAATATACATTACATATAATTATTAGTAACCTACCTCTTGAACAGCATTTAAAGGCAACAAAGGCCCGTTGTTGTCCCTTTCTTGCTCAAAGTAGTGCATTAACGAGGCCACGAGTTCCTTACACCGACTATTTAACTGTTTGGGCATCTTTATATACCAAAATTGCCTTTATCTACTCGTAAAATGAATAATTTTGTTTTGAAACAAACAGTTGTTGATTTACAGTATGCGGGGCCAAAGGATTTATAAAGATTTGAAATGCCACAAATTGATTCAGTGTCAAAATTAATACAAATGTCAGTTCCCAGTTTAAATAAGTTTCAAGGTGACAATGTGTCAACGCTGCGAAATCGGTTTAGTGCGTTTACATGTCGATAAGTGATTGGATCGTTTGCAAAACATTTTATTTCGCATAATGCGTCTAAATTTATCAGAAAGCAACTTATGTGATATTTTAATAACAATGTTTATATGACTATTAACCATAATAAGAGAGTAATGACCATTTTACAATTTATATATCACATTAATATGAAACTGCAATAGAGCAATTGTTTGTGATAGAAACCTAGGCATTAGGTCGGGGAATTTTTATCGTGATGACGTGCACGCCACTTTGTTTGGCGTTGACTATATATAAGAGTCAGTCAGTACCTTACCTTGAAAATACTGTCTAGATTTGAGCAATCTTCGAAAGCTTGGCATAAGATTGTAGCCAACTTCATATCCATATCAAATATCTGTTTCTTGAAACTCTCAAAGTCGGCGTCGAACGAGGAATCATCTGGTTCTAGTACATCGTAAGATTTTCCTGAAAATCCTGCAAAACACTGTTGAAACTCACCGTGCACCTCTACTACCTTGGAACTCAAAGTTTTTCCTTTCATCCCTCCGATTTCGAGCTTCTCTAATTTATTGAACTCCATCACAGTGTTGAAGAACCACCTGATCTTCTGTAGCCTT